CCGGTATTCTCACTTAAGTGGGGGTATTTTACAGTGAGTGACAGCTGGGACCTGCAGCCTTGATAAATGTCCTTGTCTTATTTGTTATTATTTGTCCTGGGGTAGTGTCTAGGACCTTCAGTCATGGACCAGCACCCTGTTGTGCCAGGTTCTGTACCGACAGAACAAAAGGACAGCTCCTGCCCCAAAGAGCTGCCAGACATTTCCTGCTGTTCTGTTTGGTTTCTCTCCTTCCAACACAATCTTAATTCTTTCCCTCTGTGCATTTCTTGTGGGGTTCATGTTAATATATAATGCCCCTTGTCGAACACTATTGTTCAGACTTCCTCGCTGGTAAGAATAATCCTCACAGCCTTTCAGCAAGTGCAGAATTAATCACACATGATAATTACAACCACACATGATCATTATCATACCAGCAGCATATTAACCCCATTAAACAAACACAATAGCATTATTGTTAAAAAAGAGAGGGCGAGGGAGGGAGAGGGAATGAACAAATCAAAATCGGAAAGGGAAAAGCTCCACAAATCGAGATTTAACGGCTGATGAACAAAAACCAATCTGTGTTATGAGTAGTGGGGGCAAAAAGTGCAGAGGATACCGCAGACTATCTAGCTAAGAACTTCTATGATCCTCATCACCATGGTATCAAAGTGCCTCACGATCATTAACAGATTTTATCCTTTTAACACCCTGGTGAGGGCAAGGCAGTCCTGTTATTCCCACCTCGGGAACTGAACTACAGGGTGGATTAATTGACTCACTCAAGGTCACACAGAAAGTCCATGGCTGAGCCAAGAACTGAACCTAGGTTTCGAGAGTCCCGGTCAAGTGCCCCACCACTAAAAGATCCTTCCTACCTTGTACGGTATTTGAGTGGGGTGAGATGACCAAGACAAGGAGGACTAGGAGATAGCGCCAGGTGTGACCTTGATATCACAGTCCTGATTTGCTTTAGGAGGAACTTGAAACCTTGACTGGTCTTAAATTTTATCTGATGCCTGATGTGTTTACACCTTTGTTAATTATTTCCTGTGTGAATTAAGAGCTCTCTGTCATCGGAATTTGAACAGGGAGAGGTGTGAATCTAGAAAAGCCTGGGACCAAATTTGGGTTAAATTATGAGAATGCATAATTCATTAGCACAAAACCTTTCTCTGGGCATATTTTACCACTCAAACAAGTGACACTGCTCCCCATACTCACCACTGTCAATTAGGATTTGGGTGCCCCCACATGATCATTTGAAACCAATCAAAACTTCTCCAGTCCCTTCTCGAGGTTACCTAGCAGATTTTGTAGCCCTCTCTGGATGGCTAGGCATGCCATGACCCCTCAGGAGAATCATATGGTCTGGCAAATGAGCTAAAATGGCAGTTGACTATAATTCATATTACTTTTAGGTGTCAGGGTTTTTATGGAATCCTTCAAGAAATATCACCAGTTTCAGGTGAGAAGTAAAGTAGGGTTCTTGCCTTCCCTTCTGTTTTTAAAAAAACGTTCTGTAGTGCCTGGGATAATTTGTAGAACATAAGGAGAGCATAAGATGTTAGGCAGTAAAAGTCCACACAGCTCCAAAGATGATGGTCTATGGATGCACACCAACATACCGGTCACTGAACTGGGAACCTCCAGAGTGAAAAGCTAGAACTGCTACAGGTCCAGCCAAGCTCTGTAGGTAGGGCGCTATCCAGACTCTTATCACCTGCAGATCAGGCAATATGCACTCGCCAGTGAGTTACAGACAGAGTTACAACTAGTTGCTTTGCCAGGAAAAAATAAAGAAAGAGAGAGAATGCTTTAATTAATCCTTCAGCATCCCTTATTCTCCACCCCTGAATTTGCCCCCAAATAACCCTTAGAATCTGATGGTGGGTGATCGGCATAGCTGAAAATCAAGCGGTAAATTCATTAACTTTTGGCAAGTGCATAGAGATTTTGCGTGGGAAGTGCAATGGAAGTTCAAATGATTATTATACGCCCAGTAGTCAATGGTGCCCAGTAACTTCGCTTAACTCAATTATTTTAAATGTGTAAGAAGGATAAAAAAGCAGAATCCGTACTACAGAGTCACATCTTGGAAAATACAAAGCAAAGCTATTTTTGAGTTAAAGGAATACATTTGCAGCTGGATATATATTGATTCCAGCACCAGCGCCATTCTGATGTCTTTAAAACAAGCCAAAAGATTTTTTCTAAAAGTGTGTACAAGAATATAAACTAGTCCCCAGGGTAAAAATCTTATTAAGCCCAAGTTTCAGGTGGAGGTGAATGTTTGCAGCAAATCTGCAACAAACCTGAAGAACAGGATTTACAAGGGATGTGCTGATAGGTCATAAAATAAAGCAGCACTAATGGGTGCTAACCCAATAAGTAAAGAAACGAAAGCTTGAAGTGCTGTTTTCATTCGGCTACAGCTGAGTTACTGTTTCTGTCGCTGAGAATGCTGCCCTCTACAAGCTGTATAGTAATGTTTATTTGATACACTCATTGCCATACGTTAATGTAACACAATGGACATGCTAAACTCTAGATCTAGGAGCTGAAACATTAGGGATTTCACTCTCAGTTAAAGTCCCTCCCCTCCCACTCTCTGGGGTTGACAGGTGAGCAAAAAAACCTGCTTCTTGTTGCCTGAAGCGTTGATAGTGAAGTTTCCCGTCTCTTGAAAAGACAGACACTTAGCACATCCAGAGAGGTATCTGTATTATGCTTTAGTTGCATGAGCTCTTTCCCAGAGCGAATGTTAGTGCTGCTTCTCCCAGGGACTGGGTGCTTCAGTGAGCGAAGCATGCTGCAGCCAGCTGGCTTCAAATCCTGTCTGACTTCACCGGGTGAAATTATATGGGTGTTCTCATGCTAGAACCCACTGGTCATTGGTGCACCTTAGTTGTGGGGGAACCTCCAAATGTCAAGACTCTGAGGTTGTCCAGAACCTACCTTGAGTATCCCAGTGGAGATTTCAGTCATTTCCTTTTGGCCACTGTTGGGTTCAGTTGAAGTAAATGTAGTTCCAGGAACTAGTAGACCAAGAATAGAGCCATTGTACCTAGTTCCTAACTGGAACCCATTCCATTTGGAATTTCCACCTGGGAGCTGCCCCTGCCCTAAAACAAACTTTCTGCAGCAAGGGCATGTTTGTGTAAGGGCAGAACTTCCCCCAAAATTTCCTGAAACTTTCCCCCACAACCAGTTCTAATATCAAGAAGCCCCCATAGTACCCTGAGCGGCAGCCAGAGCCCCTGGCTTCATGATGACACATTGTGACACATGACATCATGATGACACATGATGACACAGACACCTGCAAGGTAAAATAAACTAAAATCCCCATGTATAACACCAGGAACCCTGTGCTGATTGTTTTGTTTGTTTTCATATACAGTCCAGCTAAAAAAGAAAAACAACCCCCCCCCCGCAAACTCTGTATTGTTTTTAATGTATCTGAACCTTCTGCAGGATTCAGATTTGTGCCATCAAAATCACAAGCCATTCCGCAGAAAGTAGGGTTCAGCTCTCAGTAAAGTACATGGGACCTGTAGTCTGCTTTGTGCCACATGGACTATTCACATTTCTTGTATTTAAGTGGGTTTTTTTCCTTCCCAGCTACAATCAGCAGACTATTTCATGACAGAATAAATTGCTCTCCTTTTCTCTCTACGGAGAAGATTTTTGTTGGCAAGATTTACTTTGTCTCTAGTGTGATGTTGGCAGCCAAATTGCCATAGCTAGCTGGTGATAGGGCTGAACTTTTCCTGCAATAACCTGATAGCTGTACAGCTGTGCAGGCTCACAATTTACTCCTCAATTGTCAGTTTCCTGACAGCTTTTTTCAGTGGAACAGTTTGAGGAATGGAGAGCCCTGCTTTTGAGCTACAGAAGTGTTTTCACACCTGAAGTGTAATTTCACACCTTGTGTTTCTCAGCAGATAAGTGCGTAACATAGCACATCAAACAGGAATAGAAAAGGATAGACTTGCTGTAGGAAGGAGACAGTGGGTTGTAATTTATTTCCTATCTTCTGTGCCCTCTGAGGTGATATTAAATTGCAGAACCTTGGTCTTTGATGTTTAAAAAGGTTAGAGCTGGGTTGACCTGGCAAAGTGACCTGCAAACAGGAATAGTCTGTAAACTTGCACGGAGCAGGATTTGTGGGATGAGATGAGATTGGGGATTTTGACTGTAGAAAGCACTTGATGTTAGTGGTGGTATTATCCTAGAATCATGGAAATGTAGGACTGGAAGTCAAGTCCAGCCCCCTGCACAGCAGTAATGTAGTTAATACAGATGTCTGTACACTAAAGAATTTGAACAATGAATGAAGTTGACCTTGATTCTGCTGCACTCAGGAGGAAAAGCAAAAAGAGGGTTTTATTGCAGGCTTGGGACAAACTCTGAAATCCTTACTTAAGGCCAGATCATGCTACTGCATGCAGATGTCTCCACTCCCACAAGAAAGAGGAGAGTGGTCAGCAGCCTCCATGGAACCTGCCTCCCCCTTTCAGGAACTTATGAAGGGCTGTCTATGGGGTCATGATCTGTCCAGGATAGTAGGTAGTGGTTGCCTCCTTTTAATGGGGAGTCATGAGAGGCAAGTGTAGGCAGGGGAGGTCCTGGTGTAGAAATTCCAATGGAGCCATGCTGCCAGGAAATGGAGAGAGGGTGCTGGGACCTCAGCTGGAGCAAAGATTCCATGGAGATGGTCATGGCCTCCCAGTGAGACCTGTAGGGTTTAGGGCCAGACTTGAAGTTTATTACATGAGGCCAAGGAGCAGACCCTGCCTGCCCACCCAGCCTGAATGATAAGGAAATCCTCAGAGTTTTCCTCCCTTCTTATGCCCCTCCCATGGGTTTTATGATGGAAAGAGGTGATCTGACCTTCCGCTTTTACTCAGTGCTTACTCGGACAAAGGTCCCATTTGCTTCATTTGCCCCCTTGACATTCCTTCACTAGTAGCAACAAAACTAAACAGTGTCTCTTCTCTCTTTTGTCCCAGACACCTACGGAAAGCTCTGCCTTCTCAACTCCATGGGCCAGGAGATGTCTCGTTGCAAGACATCCATCCGTCGAGGCCAACCAAACCCCATCTACAAGGAGACGTTCGTCTTCCAAGTTGCCCTGTTCCAGCTTTCTGACGTCACGCTGATGATCTCCATATACAACCGGCGCAGCATGAAGCGCAAGGAGATGATTGGCTGGATTTCTATGGGTCAGAACAGCAGCGGAGAAGAAGAGCAAAATCACTGGCAAGAAATGAAAGAAACAAAAGGGCAGCAGGTCTGCAGGTGGCATACCTTACTGGAATCCTAATGGTCCCTGAGCTCCTGGGACTGCCCACTGGATCCTCCCATAATCACCCCGCTGAAAGCAGCCATCCCATAGCAAACATTATAAACCATCCGGGTCTATTTTAACTGAATTTTTAAAACTCAGCACACTCAGTGAATGTAGGTGCTGGGGCCCAGTGAGAAAATTTACCTGTTGCCTTTGAGGGTTTTCATACATTTTCTCACCCAAACGATAACCAGAAGGGAAGTGGTTATGAAAAACACAAAGCTACTTTTACCCTCTTGCTGTCAATGCCTCACTGATCTAAATTATTTTTGTTGCTATTTTCTTCTGGTGTAATGTCTTTCTCCCACCTCCATTCCTATTATTGATGTATGCAAATGTTCTTGATACACAGATGACGTCATTAGTCTAGCACTGCATGCCACTCGTTCTTCCTTTTACTACAGTGTTTCTAAATCCAAGAGAGAAACATTTGATACCACTTAAGACTGATTAATATATTTTCAGGTAGCATGGGAAAGCACTAAAGATTTCTCTGTAAACTTTTAAGTGCCTAGAGATTGCCATTACTTTCTTGTATTATTTATTAGTATTTGAAGTAAGCATGTTTTATTTCTTGTGCAACCTATATCACCAGATGTTTGTATGAGGTGATGGGTGTCAATTTAACATAGTAGTTATGTAATGCATGTTTAGATGCTTCCCTGTTTTCTTAGCTTGTGGCTTCTATTGTTGTGAAAACAAAACAACAAAAAGAGAGAGAGACCAAAACAAGCTGCACATCTGCCTTGGTGCCTAAACCACGATTATTCTAGATCATTGTTCACTCTTCTTATTTTTTTCTTAATGTGAGGTTCACTTGAAAGAATGATTCTGTGCATAGTGGGGTTTCATATTTATTATCTTTCAATGACTGAGTCAAATCTGCTCCAAGTAAAAAGTGCTTTTTCAAGATTCCCGTAAAATATTCCAGAGATCTGAAAGTCAAGGTGAATTTTTTCCTTCTCTGACATCACTAGGAGGGTTCTGCAGGCCCCATGGTGCTATCACTTCCCCTTGTGCGAACCCATCTCAAGCAGTGTTTGCACAAGAAGGAATAGAATCCCACTTGGTCTCTCAGAGGTGTTGGCCCTGGAGGGCTAACAGAAGAGAAAAGTATGACAGTTCACGCCTGTATCTGCATACCCACAAAGGGCAGATCTGCTTACTAAGGTGAGGTGATTTTTAGGTAGTCACGCTTCAGAGCGCAGCGGCACTTTCAGTTTTAATAGTCATCTTTTTCCTGCCTCCAAAGTGAGTTAAACCCAGTGGAGGCAGTAGATAGAGGAAGAAGGCTAATTTTCTTTCTTGATTATCAAGAGATCCAGTGCTAGCTGTTGCCGAGTAATAGGAGCCATGACCCTAGTGCACAGAGCCATACGATTGTACAGGTCCTACCAGATGACGATAGGTGCCAGATCCCTAAACAATTTCAAATAACACCTATTGCCAAGGCTCTAACTTAAACCCTTCAGTTGGTGTCTCTCCATTCCTACTGACTATAGTGAAGCACAAAAATACTCAGCTGCAAAAGGCTTTCAAATTTGATTCACAGTTTCTCTTTTTCTTTGTTTCCCCCACTTACAGAGAATTAGGGCCAAATTCTGCTCTGTGGCACCCTATGAGTCTCACTGACTTCACTAAAAGAACAGGACGACTTGGGGCACCTTAGAGACTGACCAATTTATTTGAGCATGAGCTTTTGTGAGCTACAGCTCACTTCATCGGATGCATCCGATGAAATGAGCTGTAGCTCACGAAAGCTTATGCTCAAATAAATTGGTTAGTCTCTAAGGTGCCACAAGTCCTCCTTTTCTTTTTGCGAATACAGACTAACACGGCTGTTACTCTGAAACTGACTTCACTGGGGCTATGCAGGACCTAACACAAGCCTCAGCCTTGGGCTGCATCTGAGCTATGGTCATTGCATCTCAGGTAATGGTGGGAGGACAGGTGGCTGGGGTCAGCTCTGACTTACACCTGGGCCACCTCTGTCCCCACAGGGCCAGTCCAGCAGATGGGAATTGCTGGCATGAGGGCCACGCAGTCTTCCCTCTGGCTGTGCTTCTGTTCTGCTATATTAGCTCTTTTGCACCTGGAGATTCTCCCTCGTAGGAGGAATACCCTCCACTTCCTAGGGAAGCTGCCATTACAGCTGCTGTGCACCCCTGGAGCTGCACGAAGCAGCCAGAGCTGGATCTGGCCCATGTAATCTAGCAAATGAATTCCTTCTTGGCTGCAGTGCTCATGCTACTGAATCACTGACTGAAAGGAAAAAGGAGCTCAGTTAAGTAGTAAATCCTGCATTCTGGGGTTTATTACACGTTTCTAATATATTCCCCTTCAGGACAAAAGCACAGTAAACTGCCTTGCTTAATGGCAGTAGTCACTGTGTTTAGTTATGGTTTGTAATTTTTGCATCATTTTTATCTGACCTGCACAAAATGTACATACGAGTGTCTTTTTAAATAACTGTTCTATGTGAGATGTGTGTATAATACTGAACTTACAGCGTTTTGCTTATTAACCTACTGCACATGCAAAATGTGATATGCGATTATATCATTCTAAAGGGGAATTCCATATTGATACAAAGTTTCAGCCACTAGTGAAGATGTACATGATTATAAATCTGTGGTGTTTTTCGACTCCATCCTCACTCAGCCTTGGAAAAGATGATTTTTCAGAGGAGTGAAGATAACTGGTTTGGGACTTGCGCAACATTTCACACCAAGATCCCTTTTGAAGTTACATTATAAAGGGGAATTGATTTTAAAATATATGTACACTAGAGAAGATAGTTGGCCACAGTACAGCAAAATACATAATTTAATCAAAACTGTATTAATTTTTCATACGTGGCTAAGGTATTTGGGGTTAGGCATAGGTTTTTTGTAACAATTGTTACAGCAGTGATTTTTCGTGGTACCTTCCAAGGAAAATAGCTCAGTGGGTAAATGGGTGCTCAGGATTATCTAAACCCCGTTAATCAATAGAATGGTTCAGGCCAGAGCAAGACATCGTTGTGGTTCATCTGGTTTCTGCTGAAATGTGGAGAAATGTAGGAGCAGTGGAGCAGACGTCCCTTTCAGTGCTTCCTCTGGCAGGGTTATGTTCGTTTTTGTTGCACTGCTATTAATGACCTTGCTTCTCTAATTTTCCTGTTGAGAGTAAGCTGATTATTCAGCAGCATCATATTCCCACCTGAGCCAATGTCCCCTGTCCTACGTGGCGCTTTGCAGAGATGTCTTGGGCTCGGTTATTACTCGTATTGATGAAGCTGGACTTGTGCTCCCATTCTGTATTGTGCAAAGCGGACTGCAGTGTGTCATTTCTCTAACCTCTTTCCCCCCACAGAAGTGGCTGAGGAGGTTGGTAGATGAGTCTTTGGAGACGCTTTCATTTCTCGACACCACCTTCTGATGCATTTTATTCTGATTTCTGCTCAGCACTTAGCTCAGAAATGGCAATGAGTGGTAGGCCTGTGTTTCTGTGCGCGCCATCCCTGGGGGGTATGGAGGAGCCTGAGATGCAGAGAGAAAACCAATCCTTGATCCCGCAGGACCCCAGGGCAGGGCTTGGCTGGGGCTACGGAACACTCAGTGAGGTGCGGCAAACGGTGGGCCAAGGTTGAATTGCTGTAGTGTCAGTTGACAGTGACTTCCCCTTATGCTCATGGTTTTGGATAATCTACCCCCCTTTAGCACTGTTGACCAGACTCTTTGTATCCTACTTGGTTTTTCTTTCCTTTTTAAAAATGCATTGTATTCTTCAAAGGGGAGGAACTAATTGCACCGACTCAAGCCAAGCATGCTGCGGGTAGGTTCTCTGAAAACATCACTTGATCTCTACCAGTCCACCTCTCCCACTTGTGACCTGTTCCTTTCTGGGGTCTCTCCTCAGCAGAAACTGACAGTCATGGTAGAACCTCTGCTGCTGTTTTTTTTTTTTAATGTGCCCCAATGACAAATAGAGTGAGCCACCAAATTTATTTTCTCTCATAGTAATGCTGAATTTCAACTGAGATCCCTAGAGATGAGTCTGAGGACTTGTCTTCATATGAAAGCTAATCTGGAATAAGGTAGTGTGTAAATATAAAGAAAATTAACTACTCTGATAAACTCCATGTGTGGATACTCTTATTCCAGAATAAGAGTGCCTTATTCTGAACTATACTGTAATCCAGTGGGTTAAAATAATCTGGATTGTACTAAAAAATAATCCAGAATAAAGCACTCTTATTCTAGAATAAACTTCATGTGCGGATGTTCTTATCGGGAATAACTCTACTTATAGAGAAGCCCTAATCTGTTAACGAACTGGGCCCCAGAGCTGCCTATTTGCAAAGGTTTTATGCTCTCTTAGATTGTTTTAGATTTTTTTCATTAATGTCTTAATTACTTTCGGCAGTTATTTCTCTAACTTGGCCTATGTTACCCCTGAGGTTCTGCCGTGCTACAGCTTTGTTCCTATAATGCTCTGAGTTTCCTGTGCTTTCCTTGAGGGCTAATGTTTCAATGGTTACAGTCTCTTGGATCTGCAGACAATACTTGGGTGTATTTTTAGCTCCGGCAGATCCTACGAAGCAGCTTGATGCTTTTACATAATTGAGTGATATTCAGTCATGAATGTCTTCAGATGTTTTTGAACTCAAAGAACTAAACACTTCTAGCTGCTATTGATTTTTTGTCTTCAGCAGAATCTCAGGTGACATCTTGCGGAGGGAGAGGGTTTCCTTTGGTGGCAGGCCTCTATTCTTCAGATACAGGTGGTGATGACCTCGGAGCCAGCATGTGTGCTGAAGCTTTTATTGTTGTTGCCGTTGTTTATTTGTCAGTCCCACAGTTGTCATCAACTTTAATATGATGACTGGTCAGCAAAAAGATGAAGCAATCTGTTACCCTTCCACATGAGTAGCTATCGTGTAGCTGGAGCATGGGATGTGGCCCTCCACATCCTGTTACCCTGACACTACAGTTTCATTGGCTCCCAGGAAAGCAGTGGGTTAATCTGAAGATTAGGGTAGTAATTTACAAGCTTCTCTCTGACCCAGGCCTGGTCTGCACACAGATTTTTGTATTGGTATCACTATGTCAGTAGGAGAGGTGGCTTTTATTTTTTTTTTTTAAACAAAGATAGTTATAGCAGTACACTTCTACTGGTGTGGTTGCACTTCTACTGATTTAAAGGGCCCTTACAGCAGGACAACTTACTCCCTTTTATAAAGCACATTTGTGCCAATATAATTGTGTCTACCCTCGGGGGAGTTGTACCACTTCAGATATAGTGGCATAGGTAAAGTAGTGTAACTTTCTAATGTGGACAAGGCCTTTGTCATTTTTAGGAGTTGTTGTTTATCTTTATGATTCTGTAAGCCTGTGTTCCAGCTACATATGGCCAGATCCTCAGCCGCCTGACTTAAATCAGCTGAGATCAGCATAACTCTACTGACTTCAATGCCGCTATGCCAATTTCTGAGGCTCTGACCCATAGACTTCCTTAGTTAATGTATGATACCATACAATGACACTGTATACTGCTCAGCGAAGGAAATAATTTAATAATAATGGTTTCTGTTACATACACCAGACCAATGGGGGATGGACTCCTTCCTGAGCTAACCTTAGAGGGACTCCGTTACACGTTGCCCTCTACTTGGGTCAGCAGTTACATGCTGCAATTCATTCCTTCATGACTACAGCCTTATCGATATAATGCGTTCTTTGATTATTGTTATACCCTACAAAGGGTGAGAGAGCCTCAAGGAAATAATAGGATTTAACACACAAGAGCATCCTATTTTCCCGAGAAATGCACTGAGTACAATACAGCTGTGGGGGGAAACTCAGGCTTCATAGAACAGCTGGGCATTTTTTCTATTCTCTGCTTAACACTGGAGACAAATACTTGCCCATACCTCAGGCAGTCTGCAGGCAAAACAATGCCTCCTATTAGGAGTAAAGCAGCCTCTATTCTAAAAGCAGTGACAGGCTTTAGTCTTAAAGCTTGAGAAGAGGCATATAATAATTTAACTTTTATAATTCAGCTGGTTACATTGATCCTGTTGCAAGTGTAATAAACCATTATGTTAGAAGCTAAAATTAAAATGTTTGGTGGGGGGGGAAGGCTATAAATAGATGTGTGAATATTTTGAGTGACTTTGTTGAAGCCTCTCAATGACACCGTGTCATCTTTACAATACAATCTACAGGCACAGAATCCAAAAAGGATCAGACACTCAGGTGAATAAGGTTGGTATCTGCAGTTATGCTTTGGGCCACAAGCTGATCTCCAGCTGGCATCACAAAGCCCTGCTTCTCCCTCTCTAGTGGTATAGTGTTGCACAATTGGCCAGGCTTTTTCACCTTTCTGTGAAGTAGCTAGATATAGGGCAGTATTGGAGACAGTACTCAATGGGCCATTCATCTCTTCTGGTATGACAGTCCCTCCCTTCCTACTGCAAACTCATTCATCGAAGAAACAAGGGCACAGCCAGAGAGCTCTAGAATGCCAGGGCTGACAGCCCTCCAGATCCCCCTAAATATGGGCTCTCTGCTAAAACTACAATCTAGCCCATAGTGATGAGAAATGCTTGTTACGTCAAATTTGGCCCCAAAGTCAGGTTTTATTAAAAAGCTTTCTTGTAGGGCCTGCAGGAACGGGCCCCAGGTTTGCACATCCTGAATGATAAAGCTCCTCCCTAGCCACATCTTTACATACACATCATGGG